CCTAACTTTTTTAAAAAATAAATTTAGTCTGACCTGACCTCAAATAAGTTAGGCCATAAACTCCTGTAGACCGGTCTAGTCTATTCTCATCCTTAACTGTATGAGTGAAAATGTTGATGCAATTTATATTTTTATTTAGATTGAAATAGTTAGAAATTATTCTTCCAACAATATATTCAATTTATATTCATATATGATTGTTTTTCTTATTCCATATTAATTTGCATTGGAGATTAATTTATATTAAATTACATAAACCTTAACATCATTGATAAGTTATTCAAAATTAACACAAAAAACAAAATAAAAAATACACTACTAACTTAGAGAATTTAAAAATAAATTTCGAAAAAAAACATTGTAAAACATAAATGTGTCCGCACGAATTCTGAAATGAATACGCGATATTTGATAATAAAAAAATTTGAATCGATGAAGCTAAAAACTTTTCATTAAAACTTATGACATTATAAAAAGCGACATAACAAATGTACAGGCAAAGAAAATTAATTACATATACATGTTTTCGGAATAAGTAGACTATATCCATATTTATATTAATTACATATACATGTTTTCGGAATAAGTAGACTATTAAGTTATATCCATATTTATAGTAGTTTATATATATATATATATATATATATATATATATATATATATATATATATATATATATATATATATATATATATATATATATATATATATATATATATATATATATATATATATATATATATATATATATATATATATATATATATATATATATATATATATATATATATATATTCTATTGTTCTTTTTTAAACTAAAATTCATAGTCTCATATATGTGATATATTTGTCATTAGATATTACAATCTCAAAAATATACTCATTAACTTTTCACAAGTGATAAATTAAAAGTAAACATTATCATAAGTAAATGTAACACTTCATTTTCTCATATGAATATTTATAATGAAATATACGATAAATGCATCAGAGTTTACAATAGGATGCCACATACTAGGGGTGTTCGCGGTTCGGTTTGGATCGGTTTTAAAGCAAAAACTCATCCGATCCAAAGATTAATTCATTTAAGATTCGGTTCGGTTTTAGATGATATATTTAAAAAAATCCAATCTGATCCGATCCAATTTTATGCGGTTTAATTTGGATCGGTTTTTGGATATCCAAATTACACATTATATTTTTATTAATATTATAAAACTACTAATAAATCATAGATTTGATATAATATATAACATATAGTATATTAAAAATTAATATTACAAAATGAGAGTGATTGATTATGCTTGAAATAATAAAAATAAATAGATTATACCAAACTAATAAATATTATTAAAAAAATTATTATCATCTAATAATAAATTCACATAACATGTCATACTAATAAAAAGTAAATAAGTATCAAAATATATTTATGCGGTTCGGTTTGGTTTGGATCGGTTTTGAAAAATTCATCCGAAATCCAATTCGAACCGATCGGTTTTCATAAAATAACATCCAAACACAACCAATAACTTTCGGTTTTTTATGGTTTTCGGTTTTTTGGACCGGTTTTCGATTTTTTATTTGGATTGGTTTGGATTTGAACACTCCTACCACATACGTCATAAAATCCATAAAGTTCTCAAAATACTTTATTATTTCGTGTATTCAAATATGGTTATTCGGCAGCTGAAAATCAACATAAAAGTAGTTCATTGGCATTCTAGCCTTAACAACAATTCAAATCCACAATACGTGGTCCATCATAAGTTTAAAAGGAAATGTGCAACATTTGAAATCACGCAAAACATAATGAAAATCCCAAATCCCACGTTACATATCAGAGCGACTCCTAAGACTCGATCTGGTAATATCACTTCAAGCACTACTCGGGTACCTGGTTATCTGTACTCCCGAAGAGTACAAACGCAACAACACAAAAAGGGTGAGAATTTCATTCAATAATTACACGGTGAAATAAAACATGCTAAGGAGTAGTAAATCACAACATACAGAAAATTCATCACAAACAACCATCATCATATCATACAACCTCAATTCAGTGTTTATGCAATGCAATAGTCCTACATCAACATACATGTGGTACCATCAAGGCGTAATCCTTCAACTCAATGCCAATTAAGCAATAACAGAGCATAAGCCCTCAACACAACGCCAATGCAGGCCAACATCAGGGCATAAGCCATCATCCATGAATGCATGCAACATGAACATGCAAGAACGTAGAATCATACAGCCACAAGGCATAAGCCTTCAACACCGTGACAATTTAAGCCATCCACACCATGCTCATCATAATCATCAACTTTGCCTCATATTGGCATCATGAGCAAAACAAAGTCGCAAGAAAACAACTTATCATTTCAACGTAACAAGAGGAAACTATTCCTATCCTAAATTAGGTACTATAATTATCCTTTTTAATTCTCATTTTATTCTACCTACTTTAATTTTATAGTTTTATCTATCCAATGCTTCGAACGACGCATCAAATGGAGTTACGGTTCAAAAGTTATGGCCTTTAGAAAAATCTGTCAAAAATTGGATTGCTTGAGTCGACGCATGCCCCTTTGAATCGACGCATAGGTATTTTGTCCGCCCCGGGTGTGCTCAGGTCGACCCAATGAGTCAACACATACTGAGTCTTGAACCTGCATGAGTCGATGCATGACCTCTTTGAGTCGAGCGTGCTGTTTTGTGTTGAATTTTTCTGTGATTTTTCTGTGATTTCACTATCTTATAGATCATAAAACATCACCTAATCATAGGGATTCATCATCCATTATCATCCTATGTTTCTGCATCAATTATACATGATTTGGGCATTATTATTCATCTTATATTTCATCAAATCCTCATCCAAAATCCTCAAATCCTAATTCTCATTACTTATAGGATCTAGATTGGAGTTTTATGCAACAATCATCATAACAACGCAAATCACAACAATAATCACAACATAGCATCACAGATCCATGTATAATCATATACAACACATCAATTCAATCAAACCAAATAAATTATACATCAATCATATAAAACAATCTAAGAGGGAAATGAACACTCATTACCCTCTCATGTAAGATCACCAATTAGAGGATTCATTCACCCCCTTACCTTAATTCAAAGCTTTGATCTTCCCAAAAGCTGTCGATTCCTCTTTCCCTAGCTTTTTCCTTTCTCATTGCCTTTTCTCGTTCTACGATATGTTTTGTTGCACTCTCACTCTTATTTTTCTTATAACACAATTTAGACCCCTAATACCTATATATCAAAAATGCCCTTATTCTCTTTAATTAATTATATAATCACTAAAATTATAAATACTATTTTATTCATAGTAATAACAATAATATAATAATAATAATATTAATAACAATTAAGTAATACTAGTATTCTCTAATCACCTCTTATTCTCTACACTTTTAATCATACACTCCTTCACATCTCAACCTCTAATTTTCTCAAATTGCATCACATCACATCACATTATAAAATATATCGACACAAGTAAACGCATCATCTCATATAATTATTTTAATTAAAATAATCCTAATTAAATCGGAGCGTTACAGTAAACATTGAGATGTTCTTTCAATTCTAATTAGTTGTCATGGTCCACCGTACACTTCCACTCAACTATTTAATTTTATATCTATATTTCATTCTATAAACTACAACTTCACTTCACATATCAAAACTTAACTAATTATTATCATCATTCTTAATTATTACTTAATTAATTATTTAATTCATTATTGACGTTCTTAATTATTTTACAATATTTTTCTAAAAGAAATATTACAAATAATAATAATTGTGTATTATAGTTAAAATATATCTCAATGATTATTTACAAAATTAACATTTGTCTCAATTTTGCATTATATCTAAAATTCATCTCAAAGTCTATATAATACACTTAATGGGATTCCGTCTAAAATCCATTTTAGTATTTTACAGAAATTTGAGACAAATTTTCAAAAAGAATAATAATAATTAACAATTATATATATATTTTTAAATCTATCTTAAATATTTTTATAATTAAAATTTGTCTCAAATCCGATTTAATATATCACATGAATTTAGAATAAAATTTCCAAAATATAGTAAAATAAATAACAATTATATAATTCGTCTCAAATATGTCTCAAAATCTCTAAGGATTGAAATCCATCTAAGAACTTAATATCATTTAAGACAAAATTTATTTCGTCCCCAATTTCTATTTAAAAATATCAATATTTTATTAGTGTAACGACTACATATAATAGATTCATCATGATATACACTTATATTAATATCCATCATATCTCTATATTTTACATTTGACTCTCATTATTCTATCTGTTTAGGAAGTTTCATTTTATTTATTTGATGTATTTTTAATTTCAAAATTTTATTTGAATATTATAATTATAAATTTTATAATTTTAAAATATTTATTTTAGTGTTGAAATTATACCTCCTTAATGAATTATACTATAATAAATAAGAAGTTAATATTTTTGTCATAATTGTTGCGAATATATAATTATGTTTTATTAATATTTTATTAAATTTAATTAGAATTTAAATATTTTATATATTATACTTTTTATAATTTTTATTTTATCTAACGGTCATCTCAAAATATTTGGTTTGGCACCGCCAATATATATATATATATATATATATATATATATATATATATATATATATATATATATATATATATATATATATATATATATATATATATATATATATATATATATATATATATTGAAATAAATATGAATGTGAAGAAAATAACTAGTTAGACATTATAAATAAAAAAATTGATTGAAAAAAGAAATTTAGTAATGAGAAGTCCAAATGTGTGGGCCATATTATTGAATATTATCCAAATTAGGCTTAATATAGGTCAACCAGACAAATATAAAAGTGGTAGGGTTTCACATTAAGGGTCATTGAAATCCAGCATGAATTCTCAAAATGTTCTCTCAAAAATCCGGTGCAGTTGGAAGGTATGAGTTTCTGTCATATACTACTTTGCAGATGTATGATTCCATGGTTCGCTTGCAAGTCTTATAATTGTAATAATTCTATGTTTCATATGTTTTAATGCAGTTCATCATGTTGGACTGTCACTGATGTTGAAGACGTTATGAGATCGCTCGCCCGAGTCAGAACGTCATATGATGTACCAAACTTTGATGTCGATAGTAGCAACGAAGATCCAGCACCAGATGGTGGAAGTGATTTCGACTTTAAATTAGATGAGGATCTCAAGTGGAAAAAGGTGATAGGTTTCTGAACTACTCCTTGCAAAAATGTTTTAGTAAGAAATGTTATTTAGTTTATCAATAGTTTCAAACTGGCTATATTTAACATATATTAACGTTATTTTCATGTTATTTGATGCATCATTTTCAAAGGTTTAAGTCTAATAAAATGTTATACGTGAACTAAACTGCGATAGAATTGTTTGATGAATACAACGGAGACATATACTATGGAAAAATTCGCATAGCCAATCAAACCAAGATGGAGAAGTATCTTGAAAAAGGGTGATATCAAAATGTTAAGAAGAAGAAACTGAGAGGAGGGGATATTCTTCGATTTACTAGAACGACTCTATCTGTCTCTACTTAACCGCTGACGGTAGTTCAACAAAATATATTTTTGGATTTTCAATTGAAGTCGTATAATAGGTTGGAATTTGTGGTTGTTGTTTGTAGTGAATATTTTTTTTAATTAGCAAGTATTATCCTTTAAGTTTGGGTGACTTATTTTATATTAAGTATGAAATAGTATTTATTTTATGTTTAGAATCACCTTGGTTGAATTTGAAAGAATCTATGATATAATTTTGGATACATGGCACTTTTTGTTTATCAATTTCATCCATAATAAGAATTTGATTACAAAGAACCTTTATCAAGTGTACAGTTTTGAATAGGTAAAAGAGGATGATAAGAATTATTTTAAAAAAATTACTTGATTAATTAATAAAGTTAATTACAAATGTTATAGTTGGACTGAAAATTATTAATTTCTCTTTTGAAGACCCATAGTATCAAGTACAACTTGTGACAAATAAATTGATGATAAGAATAGAATGGCAAATTAAATGATATCTGACTTTAATTGCAAAAATAACATCACCATTGAAACCATGGTCTATGCTTCTCACTATAATATAGATTTTTAATTGGAAATATTTACGATTGATAGTGTATGATGGATGTAAAAAATGGTATCGAAAGATATTGCCAAATATGTTGTCAGTTCGGTTGGGGTAGATAGTGTATAAGTTGAGAAAAATTATTCAAAGTGTTATCATAACATTTATTTTGAGAATCTCCTAACATTAACAAAAGGATTGGGTAAAAAATATTTTTATAAAATGAAGGAAGGAAACAAAAGGTCTCAAAGGAAACAAAAAGAGAAAATGAAGGGATTGTGATAGTGTTTGGCATTAAATAACGTGTTTGGGAATCAGAAAAGGTGTTGGCACTATTAATTACGCGGGGTTGTTTGGTACGAAGAGTATAAATGTCATTTATGCAGAATGGGTTGGAGTGGTATAGCGACAAGCAACAAAAGTTTTAGAAATATTTATCCGAAAATTTATCGTGTCCACACAGAATGATTATTGAATTTCTGTTCGACAAATTCTCGCGGTTATGAGTTTGGCTTGAATTGGTTTGTAAAGAAAATGTTATCAACAAAAAATAAATTTAAACAAAAGAAAAAAAACTAAGGAAGAACTTATCAAACCTGCAAATAATATACTCATCACAAACTTAAATCTATCGACCAGTTACATTCAACCTAACAATACCCATCAATATCACTACGTATCACTCACAACCTAAGTAATTTCTAATCCAAATTGAGAGACCGACTGTATCACCAAGGAAATGATCTCTCTACCTCCTCAACAACACATAAGACAACTATGTAATCGCACTGACGATCTCTCAGCACAGCACAACCACACAGAGGCATTAAGCTCTGATACCGTTAGCTGAAGATTTCGACATTGGATGAAAGTTGATTTGAGAAAAATTATGTTTCAAAGGATGACATGAAATTTGGCTTTATAAATTTATTTTATAAAGTTGATTTTTATAGTTCGATATGTCGAAAGACCAACAAAGTCAAAAGAATGAAGATCGCTTCGACAATCACGTTAGACGAATTCAAAGCTTCGAGCGGGAAGAATTTAAAATTCAAACTGATGTGTTTTCACCAGGAGGACGCGTGGAAGCGCCAGAATGTATGCATTTAAAAATGTCGAACGTGGCGTAATCTCATAGAAAGACCGTTAGGGTCGAATAAATATAAATAGGAGTCTTAGATGTTAGGATTCAAGATGTTCACATTGTATATAAATCACTCATATACTCAAATTACCGGAGGGAGAGAAAAGAGTTTGTTGATAATGTATGTGTAAGAACACCATCATTCTATTTAAAGTCGTTTTATTATTATAGTTACTTTAATTGCTTTCTTAATTCCTTTTCATTTCCTATCAAATCTTTAGCAAATTTTGTCGAACTTCCTTTATAAGCATTCTTACTTTACATTCTTGCAAATATCCAGATCATTTACTTTAAGTTATATTTAGGATTCATAGTCAAACTTTAACATCTTAAAATAACCATAATCACGTAGAAAGACCTTGTTAGTATGCCAAACTTTGAGTCAAATTGTAACAACACTAAGACACATGTCCTAGGATCAATCTAGTCGATCATGTAAGTTACCAAAACATAGAGTTTAGAAGACTGGCAGTTATTTGTCAGAAATCACTGGCAAATAAATTGGCATGCCCAGTGGGACTAGTGTCGAAGTATTTTAGTTACATTGCTTACGTTCTTTTAATTTAGGTCTATAGTTTTTTTTGTGAACAAATTCTTTCAATTAGTATATGAACCTTAGAAGTGGTAAGATAACCCACAATAACCAATCAATACCCAAAAGAAAACAGACCAAAAAAATGGTTAATAATACCAATAATGGAGGAGGACAAAATCCTCCACAAGGATCAGGCATAATCGTGGAAAGTTCGACGAATGTGTCAACTGCAATCCCTGGTTCACAAGCCATGTCCACATCCACAGGATCCATGGCTACAAATAGTTCTATACCTGGGCCTACAGGACCCGTGCCCATGAACAATTCGACAACCATGTCTATCTCTACAAGCATGGCAGAGATTCCTTTGAATATTCAAATTGCCCATGTGTTGACATATGTTGGAAATCAGACTCAACCTACAACCCTTAGGCCACCAGGGTTTGAGAATTTTGGGCCTGGGAGGGAGAATCCCAATATGGGATGCCAACTTCCTTTATGTCAGGATTACACAATAATCTATCCAAACATACACAGCCTACCATGAAAACCTCTTCGCTAGTACAAAATTCTGGTTCTGGTATGAACCATATGGGTCGAAGTACGCATAACCAAGGATTGTCAAACCAAATACTTATGCTTACAACTAATAATTAGGCAGCATTTAGGAAACAAATGGACGCTAGTAATCATGACATGGTCGGAGTACTTTCCCGTGAAATGAATGCCATTTTATCCCCTTTGATCCAAAATGTTAATAGAACAAACCAAGAAAATACCCAATCCTATTAGCAAATGTAAGCACAGATGCCGCGCATATCAGACTTCTTTGGAGCCCCCCAAGCACCTGTTCGATGTAGGCAAAACTAGGGAGCAATTCAAGAAGAAGAACCCACTATCAATAAGGTTCGACCACCCAGACAAGAGGTTGGCGAAAGGAACATAGGGGCAAGGGTAGAACAACAAGAGATTCGACATGAGATCCCTGAGGAGCAACCTAGGAGAGTAGTAATGGTTAACAGAGATCAAAATGCAGAAGAAGTGATCCATAGAGTTAGGCAGGATAACATGCTGGCCGAAAATAATTTAACCACCATGATTGAAAGAATCATGGCCCAAAATGGCCTGAACACAAGGTTTCGACGGCCAAATTACACGTCTCCATGAACAAATTTTATTTTGCAGGCTAAATTACCAAGGGGTTGTAAAGTCCCCAAATTCAAAAAGTTTTCATGAGATACTAACGAATCAACTGTCGAACATGTGGCCATGTATCCGATAGAAGCATGGGATTTAGCAAATAGTGAAAACTTAAGGATAAAATACTTTCCTAGTTCATTAACAAAAAATTCTTTTACATGGCTAACCATATTGCCACCAAATTCTATAGACACATGGCCTCATTTAGAAAGATTGTTCCATGAACAATTCTATATGGGGAAAACTAAGATAAGTCTTAAGGAGTTAGCCAACATCAAAATAAAGTTTACTATACCTATAGATGACTATTTGAATAGGTTCCATTTATTAAAGTCTAGATGTTTCATAGTAGTGACTGAACATGAATTAGTCGAAATGGCCGCTGGGGGATTAGATTACTCCATTCGCAAGAAACTAGATACTTAGTATCTAAGATACATGGCCCAATTAGCGGATAGAGTTTGACAAGTCGAACGTTTAAAAGCAGAAAAGGCCAGAGCAAGTAAAAATTATAAGAAAGAGAGGGTAGCTTATGTCGAAGCCGAAGAAGAAGAAGCAGAGGCCTTCAATGATATGTATGATTTTGGGGAATTCGAAGTAGACTTGGCTGAATTAAAAGAAGCACCTTCATACTCTTGTAAAATGATGACACCAGCAAATGGCAGAAATCCTGTCGAAACAAAAAAGAATGAGAAATTTCCCAAGAAAACTTATACGTTTGACATTACCAAATGTGATGAGATTTTTGATTTGCTTGTAAAAGATGGTCATAATTTTCTGGGCCATAAAACTTCACAATATTTTCTTTTCTGGGATCTTATTCAAAATGCTATAAAAGAAGGACGTTTGAAGTTTGTTAAGAAAGTCAAGATCCATATGAAGGTTAATGTTGACCCCCTCCATGTTGTAGATACTAATTACACTGAACCTATGGAGATGAACATGGTGGACATGGTGGAGTGTGGAGGAGAAGAAGCCAAGGAAGTCAAAGGCTCCGACATGGATAGAAAGCAGGCTACTGAAGGCTTAACTGGAAAAAATTCCCTTTGACACTCCTCTTGAAAATATTTTTGAAGGTAATGCTGAATCAGAGGCTACCGAGGGCTCTGTGGAGGAATAACTGAGGCTACTGAGGGCCTTAGAGTTAAATTTGAGAAGATAATGAATGCAGAAGGTCCTAGTCTAAGGTTTAACATGGTGGATTTGAAACAACCTTCGTCAGAAATGGAAGAGGTGGAAAGGTGCCTGAAGATGGAGAGGAACAAATGAATTTTGCTTACCTAAGGGCAATGAAACCCTACGAGAATACTTATGGATGTGTCATCAAAGAAATTCAGACATGCTAGTGTGTCCAAGGTGTAGCATTGTTATAAATCTAAGGGTTTCAGAGGCATATGAAAGAGCTTAACATGCTAGAACTCAGGGAAATTGGGGACAAGAAAGCCAGTTGATGAAAGTGTACCCAAA